GACCTGCTAGTTGACTGGTTCAGCCACGAAAAACCGAGTGTGGGCGTGCGCGTCAAGCATCGTAATTGGTGTTATGCCTTCCTGCCAACCTAATCAACTAAACGGAAACATCTGTAAGAAGAACGGCGAGATAGATATTATATAGACTCCGTATGAACAAAAATAGACAGAAGGAATGAGAAGAAAAAAAGCAAGCTAGTTTCAGAAAGCAAACCTCGTGGATATCTAATGATCGACGCCTTGCATGACCAGCGCCGTCCATATATCAAATGAGAGTTGCAGGACAAGCCCCCGCAGGTCATAAATGTGTTGCCGCTCCCCCCCTTTCCCCCTTAATTCTCTCCTGTTCGTTGCTTCCCTTGCCTCGTCTTATTCTGTCGAAACTTGCCCTTGCTTCTGATTCTCCCCGTGTCCCCAGTGCACGGTATCGTTTGTCTCGCTAATTCAGTGACATCCCATCTTATCTTCGATTATCATACCATCTGCAGCCTATCTCTATTCTCTCCTGTCTTCATCATCACCTTTTATTTATCATTTTCACTTAGCTGAGCCAGAGCATCTGGCTTCCTTCCTCTGCAGGATATTTGATATATGAATTGTGTTATAACGTCGCACTCGACCAACCAAGTCAAGCAGTAGTTCATTCTTTCGTCGCGGTCGACGTATGGAACCTCAAACCCTTGCCAATCAACGGGCGTAGGTATAACATACTCTCCAGCGGCTGCTGACTGGACGCCGATCCACTTCGACTTATCCGCGTCGCTCTCTTGTGTGGTGTTTCATAAACACCCGATAACCCAATCAAGTACTTATCTGAAAAGCGCTCGAGTTACGCCAACAGCGCAAAAGAGTTCGGAGTCTGTCTTTTTGTGTTGCTTATCCCTTAGGCATTGCATTGCATTTGCACATTGGGCGCAAGCAACTTGCATCTTGTCGTACTGGTACATCCACAGGCGGTAACGCAACCCCGCAGTTAGATTGTTACATGGCTAGCCGTTAGATCGTCAAGATTCGCTATTGATCGATCGATAATTAGTCGAGTCAATACGGAGTAAGTGAACCCGTCTTTAGTTGATATCTCTGTTTTGAGTTATCCCTTTCCCTTCTTTGTTTCCTTTTTATTTATTTCAAAATGAATAAAATAAACACACTTCACCAAGCACCATCATTGCCATTTTTGAGGCAGCCCATTTTATTGAGTGGTTAGATTTTGTGTTTTGTTGTCCTTGTTGTTAGTTATTTGTTGTTATCATTCATTCCACCCCGCCAGCCCCCTCTCTCACCCACCCCCATACCCCTCAGCGATCTGGCGAATGAAGCCATCATTCATTGCCCCTTCGTGAGATTTACTTCTCCAGCCTGTTTGTCTCCACTCAACGCTTCAGCTGCTGTTTAACGAGATGGACCCCGTCTCGCGGTTTTGGCTACTTATTTAGCGGCAACCAGAGCAGCCCAAGCAAGTTGGCGAAGCGAATCGTCTTAGCGCTATGACAATCATGGACTGCTATTTGACAGAGTTCTCCCGCCCCCGCTCCCTTATCTCAAGGCTTGAGCAACCAAGGAAAAAACCGAAACTTCTTGGTCGACTTTGAGAAGTGAGAGAGGAAGCAGAAGAGGGCCGGGACATCTGGCTAAGCAGATGGTGGTGTTGAGCTGCAATAACCCTTTTGATGCGAGATCTATAAAATACACACATCCAGGAAGTTTGGCGGGGATAAGGCGAGCATACCACTCATACCTGGTACCGCACTAAAGCGGGATGGCGGTGTATGGTACTGTACCGAACCCCACCCCCGTATCCGAGCTACTGTGTAATCTCCACGCCGATTGCCCCAAGGGCTGCTGCCAGCGTGGTATTGGGCGTATTTTTGTTTTTCTCCTCTCGCTGGTTTTCTATTTTCCGCCCTCCTCCTCCTCCAGCATCGACCACTTCAATCTTCCCCACGGCATCTTCCATCTCTCCACGACAGTTATATACCATCACGCTGTCACCACCTCTACTCTCATTTCATTTCCTCCCTCTACTGCCAAGCATTATACTCCTGCACTTCCTGTTTATTATTCCCATTTGCGCATACCGCCCTCTCTTACTGCCTCGTTTTCTGCCTTCTCCAAAGCGCGCCCTCAATTTTTGCCCCAAGGCTGTGTCTCCTCGATCGATGTCTCACAATCTTGAACAGCCATGAAATCCACAAACACACAACACAGATATATCTGATTTTGATACATCCTTTCCCTGTTCCAGTCCTCCCTTTGATCCTTTAAGGTCGGCCAATTGCTTAAGAAATACACCTCCGCAACTCGAACCATCCCATCATCCTCGGGAGCCTTGTTCTTCGAGATCGGGTTTTCTCCTGTATCTACCCGTTGCAGAACACGGAAATCGCTATAAAAGCTGTTCCAAGTGGACTTACTGACTCACAGCCTTTGCAATTATCTTTTATCCCTGCGTGCTAGGAATAGTCTACGCTGTCTTGGCGAAAAAGGTATGGGGTTCCCCTTCACCCGATATATTATTAATATAGACAGGCTAGGAGAATATATATTAGTCCAATTGCATGACGACGCCTTTCCCCCCCCCCCCCAAAACCATTTGATATTCCCTTTTCGACGTCATACAGGGTTGACTGACTCTCTGACTGTAATGTATGTCTGTAGATTCCTCCCTCGATCTTTAAACATTTCCTGTCTCTCGAAAGTTGCTGTCTAAAAGTCCCGCTTTGCGGGTTCAAGTTATTGTTTTCCTTGCTGGTTTCCAAGATTAGCATCAGTTTTCCACGTCACAACAAACTGTGATCTTGCTGCCACAACGATTATGGCTGAAACTACTGCCTTCATCAAACACGAGCCAGACGATCAGCCCAGCAACCCGCATCAATATTTGATGTCCTCCTCAACATTTGGGATGCCTAGTCCCTCCTTCGGATCTAATTTCGGAAATCCTGGGGGGAACGAGGGTATTGATCCTTCAGAACTCTCAATGCAGAATGGCGGGTTCATGTCCTATCCGTTCAGTTCACAACACAATTTATCATCGAGTTTCAACCTTGGGAATTCAAGCATCGATACGGCAGAGCTTCTGGATTTGGATCTCAATGGGCAAGGCGGCGTCGGTCGTGATAACAACCTGAGCTTTGTCCAAGACCCACAACGCCATCCTACAGGCATCTCCATGAGCCACCAGGGACAAATGACTAATGTCTACTCAAGCACCCCTGAAGGAGCCCCAATCCAAAACCCATATGTCCGCAACAACTTCAACTACGAACAGTTTCGAGTAAGCCATGGTCAACATGCTACGTCGCCT